GGGTTCATTGAGAACATGGTTGTTGTTCAATAATAAAATTATTCCTCAAAAATACAACTTGCCTAATAATTCTGCACTCCCTGTAGACTCCCGGGTTAAAATGTCCAACTTTTCAGCAAAAATAAACACCTTTACAGCTTTCTAGAATGTGACTGATAGGTGGATGGTGACACATTCATCTGTAGCTGCTAGCTGTCTATTAGGTTTCACCTCAGCTAACTGGAGTCTCAGAACTGGACCTCTGGACTGTATGGTGTTTGCATCTTCTGGGCCAATTTGCTGAGGATAGGCCTAGCAGAAAGGTAAAAACTGCAGTCAAGACTGAAACTGTAGACCTGAGCGAAATCCAAATGGATACTAATAAACCTTCCAACTCCAAATAGATCTGGTGACAATGGCTGCCTGGGTGTGAGCCCACTGGGAAGTATTCTGAGTTACTTTCAACAACCCAAACTAAGCACTTTCTGGGCAATACACCTAGTGCTCCCAAAGCAGCACCCATAGGGCATACTTCTAATTCACTGTCAAAATATTAAATTTTTTTCTTGATCAGCTGCAGGTGCAAGGAAAAAATAAACAGCCCTTGGAATTACCAAGATATCTACTTTGATTATTCATAAATTCATAATTAGTCATAATTATAAACAAACACAAAATCAAAACAAACCAGTACTGCTGTGTTTTCTTGCATTTATGGAACAGCTTCACGTTCTCCCTGCAATAAAAATTAAAAAACAGTAAAATGCAGATTAAATTCTTGTTAAAAATTGTTGCATTGACTTCCTGTGTGTCTTCCCCCCACAGGAAGAGCAGAACATCAAACCACAATATTTCACCTTCCGCTGGCTCACCCTGTTGTTATCTCAGGAGTTCCTCCTGCCAGATGTCATCCGCATCTGGGACACACTTTTTTCTGACCAGGACAGATTCCATTTCCTCATCCTGGTCTGCTGCGCCATGCTCATGTGAGTCTTTCAGACTGGATTGAATTTATTTCAGTTATTTTTATATGTCATCAATTGGACATGATTCTCCTGAGATTTTTAGAGCCAAATACAATAACTTTAATTTACTTTAAATGTATAAATACAAACATGCAAGCAATCCAGGTCTTTGTCTTTAAGACATGACTCTAGTTTTATTAATTGATCTGTCATCTTCATAATTATAATTGGGTATCATCTGCATACAATAGAAACTGTTATTTTCTAATATATTACCTGAAGAACGCGCACAGAGCATGAAATGTTAATTATTCAGGTGTAAAAGACTATGGGCAGACTAGGCTTTCAAAGTCCGAGTCAGGGTGCTGTTTAGCATTACAGTGTTCTTTGCGAAGAGGAAAAATGACTCGGCAGTCTTTGCAGAAGTACTTGAGTTTTGTGTGAATTTAGAAGTAGGCATTAGTTGTCTTGCTTCATAGATGGATATAAGTGGGTGTCATCTGCATAGAAGTGTATGCACTGTTTCTTTTTTTTTGTTTTTTAAATAACATTTCCTAAGTGAAGCATTCACACTGTGTCAACTCCTCCTTCTCACAGACTTATCCGGGATAACTTATTGGCTGGTGATTTCACAGTGAACATGAGATTACTGCAGGTACAACTCTAAAGCACACAGTGTTCATGTTCAGACATGCATCTGATGCTACAGGGATTAATTGGGCTGGATATGTCTTTCAGGATTACCCCATCTCAGACGTCCACACCATCCTGACCAAAGCCAAAGACCTGCAGGATACATCCTAACCTGGTCCTCGTCCTCCCGCCTTCTCTGGTCATGTGTGGTAAGTGGGAGTCTAAAACAAAAAGGAGAAAAAAGAAAAAAAAAACATTTGTCATGTCAAATGTGTTGTGGATGGACCTGACCAATGAAGAGTCTGCACGGATATTTGGGACAGCGTGCAAAACTTGGGAGGACATGCTGAAACTTCCTCGAAATGAGTGGAGGATGGAGGGGTGCCTTGTGTCATAATGCATTATGGGAAAAGGCTCCCTTGGTACGTGCCTGTCCTGCTTTCTCAGCCATCTCTCCCGTGGAGACAAATGAAGGTCTGTAGGGAGGCGGGGCCACAGTAATCCTACACTACCAATCGTAACCACGTGTTCAACGAAGGAGCCAAGAATTCAAAGGAAACTCCCACTGCGATCACGTATGTAGTCCGATTGAGTTTAACTGTGTTGAGCAGTATGTGCATGTTTGTTCTTCTAAAAAAAAAAGTTAATTTTCAATGATTTTTGCTGATGTAAGAAACATGTATGCCTTATCTTTTGAAGGATGTGAAATGGGAGATGGCATTTCTGTGTATATATTCACTCTGACATCAGAAACATGAAGCGATAGTTTCCGCCTGTTATCATCTCAGCAATGCTTTCTAACCTTTTGGAGAATCACAGCAGAAGGAAACTGCTGTTGAAAGAACGGTGTTGTTTTTTCATACTGAACATTATTTTCACAGCAGTTTTATTTTTTTCTTCCTCTAGCCCAAAGAAGCAAGTCTCACAACTACGTTGGGACCAATGTGCACTTAATTTTAATAGTAATGAAATATTAACAGTATGGTTTAGTGAAGTTCTTAATTTTTGATCAGCAATCAGTCCAGCTTCTGGAAATTGCCAATTTAGTGTCATCGACCAATCGGAGGAAATGTATGAGGAGCTAAAATAGCTTGTTTGAGACAGAAGGATTAACTGAGCCCAGTGTAAGATAAAGAAGGATTATTCTTATCTATGAATCATGCACAGTTGCTCAAGTAACTTAAAATGAAAAGAGGGTGTTTTTTTTGTTTGTTTGATGTTTTTGGATAGTGAGGAATTATCTTTACATAGCAATGCATCAACCACACAGCTGCCTTTTAGGCAAACTTTCTAAAAGTTGGCATGAAACACTTCTTTTCTCCTGTTCTTTACAGAGTGCAGTTGTTCAGTCAGAAAGGAGGCTTGGCTGTTTATAACAAAATAATAGCCTTGCTAAATTGAAGTTAATCACTTTTGGTTTAGACTGATGATGTTCAGTGTGAAAACGGCATCCTGGCTCATTGCACTTTTCTCTTCTGATGTGCACGTCTGTGTCCAGCCTTGAGCTTGTAACACGTCAGTGAGGAGAATCGATGCAGAATCAGAAAAGAAGCGAACTGTTGAAGCTTATTGAGTGATGACGCTCATATGAAGGCACTCTGTGTGGATATTTGATCTGAACACGAATGAAAAGAGGTCATTCTAACTCTAAGAATTTGTAATGTGGCCCTACATGCACAGGCCTAGCAGGCACCAGGCCCAGGGCCATTAAAGTGCAGTGTTTATCGTCTTTACAAACACTTCTCAGAAGTTGGTTTGGGCATTAAATAATCTAAACTTTCCCTGTCTGCTTTTTATTTTCTGCTTCTAAAAATTAAACCTAATCTTCCACACTATAGAAACATTACTTTTCTTCATTTACTTTTACCTACAGTCTGTAACAGTGCTGAACTTTGAGGAAGTGTTAAGTTGCTCTTTCACTTAAACTGAAAAGATTATTCTTGCTCAACTTATCATAATGAATCAAAGTGGACCTGTTCTTCTTTTCCTGTTTCCTGTCTCATAGTTCCTGCTCCAGTGGTGGATGTTCATATTAAACACGGCCAAAGTTAACAAATAACAAGGTCAGTGTACAGTTAGTCCCTCTGACACCAAAGCTCAGGCTGCAAAATGCTCCAAACACTCATTTTTTTTTTTCTACTTTTGGACTTGCATGAAGTCACAGAGAAGGGACGTCCCTAATACAGTCATGTTAAGCACAGACGACCCACACACTTCAGTTGACAAGGGGCAGTCAGTCAGAATAAAGTTGGCTTAAAGGGGGAGGAGCTAAAATGGCTAGCTTGAGATCTAAAGGTCTGCTCCAAGGCTCCGTGTAAAATAAAGAAGTATTATTTTGAACTGTGAATTATGCAAAGCTCCTCTTGTAGAGTTCAGGAAAAAAACTGGAGCTGGAAATTAGAACAATGCATCCACTTAAATCTAAAACCAGTAAAATCTCAGAACCTGAGAAATGGCTGTTTTGTTTTAGTTTTAGTGACCGCTTTTAACTGTCAGACTTAATATAACACTAACTGTTAATCTAACAATAGCTTCATATGTAGGAAAAAATTAATGAATTACACATAAACTGCTTTAACACTTTGAGACGATAAAGTCAACATTTGTGAGAAAAAGGTGATGAGGTGAATCCAGATAGAAAGTTTTTCCTGATGGGGAAAAACACAAATCTTCTTGCAAAATTATGACTTTAAAATGTCATTTTGGCTTCTTTTTTTCTTTTTTTTAAAAAACAAAAAAAAAAAAAACTACTTTAATGCTGAACTTTTTTTTTTCTTTAAATATCACTCTTCTTTAAACCTGCAATGGCCCATACATTCTGCTGTAAAAGTGATCTTAAGGTGTTTTCACACCAACGCTGTTTAGTCTGTTTAAATCGAGGATGTGTGAACATGGTGATCACAGCAAATCAACCACACCGAGACCCTTTGGAGGTGGTGGTCACGGTGCGGTTCGTTTATGGTGGCTAAATCAACTACTAAGATATACGCTACAAGTCTGAGCTAAAAAACGTAAAAGAGTAATATAAGGTTGGAGTCACAGTACAGACACATCTGGTTGCTGAGTGGACCGAACAGTTCACTTGTTTTCATCTCTGTGTGAAAACAGACCAAAACACAGGGAAAATCTACAAGTTTACAAACTCATCACTTATTTAGACCAGATTAAACGAACAATAGGTGTGAAATCCCCCTAAACTAACAATAGAAATCAATATTTAGTCAAGCTGGAGATGGTATGTCGCACTTTAAATGAAATGACAGATCTCCCAAAATCTGTATTTTCAGATTGTCTCAAGTAATCTGAGCTGTTTTTGTATTTTTATTAAGGAAAACTGGAATCATTTTTTTCTGTACAATAATTTCAGTTTATTTAATGAAGCTGTGCAAAATATTAGGCTGGAAAAACACATTTGAGCTCTGTTTTAAAAACTGCAACCAGATCAGTATTAGACCCACTACAGGTTTCATAATGTGAAGCCACAATCAGATCTTTAGTCAGCAAGATTTTTTTTCTAATCTTTCCTGACAATAAACTGCAGAAAACTTCAAAAAGTGCAGTTTGAGTAAAACTTTCAAGGCTCATATCACCATGTGAGATATATGGCTGCTTAAAACAAGTGATAACATATGACCGGCCTCCTTTCTACCTGCACTTTGATACCAGGGTTGTCCTCCAGCTGTGACTCCTGCTGTTTAAATGGGTTTTTCAACCACAAAAAGATTTAGATCTCAGAAATTCTGGAAAGATTAAATAAATAAATAAAAAAGCACCAAATTTCATCCCAGTTGCTGAGGTTCAATGTCCTGTTACTGTACAAACAGCCATGGTGCTAAGATAAAATTATAAGTAGCTTCAATAAATGCACTGGCGTTATTGTACAAACAAAAATGAGCTGATTCTGAGGAGGTCCGCTGGGAACCTTTCTCATATTTTGCTGATTTTACATCAAATCTTCCTCACTTCTTGTTGTACTTTCTAACCTCTTACTGTCCATTGAGTAGTTAAGGGTTCAGTCAGATCTTCCTTTTCTGTTTTATGTTATAACAGACGAACGTTGAGGCCAAAATTGCTTTGAGAGTTGACTTGAGAGGCCCACGTGCTGTTTGTTTAAGCATGTTTGTTAACATGCTTAAAATGCAACATCACTGTGACTGATACGAGGTTAAAGATCAGTAATCACGTTAAAAATCTGAGATTAGTTTTTCCCCCAAATAATCACAATTATGATTTTTACCATAAGTAGCCCTGCCACAGCTACACAGGTTGTTCACATTTCTGCTGACACTGTTAAATCGATCTTTCATGTTTCTGACTCCGCAAGGAACAAACGCACAACTACACTAATCTTTGTTTCCTGACAACCTGCAGCTGAAGTAAAATCTGCTGTTTTTGGGTTTTTTTGCATCTCAAGAAAAAGCCGGCATGAAAATGAAAGTATTGAAGTGTATTTTAGTCTCATTAAACCACTTCTGAACATCTGGAATATTCTGTTCAGTGTGAAAGAGCAAGTTTACGAAGACCAAAATTATTCTGTATTTTTACCATGTTGGGATTTTTTTTATTTTTATTTTGAGGGACTGTTACTAGTTAGATTCCCATGCTCCTCTTTTAATGTGTATTTATTTCGTGTGTGTGTGTGTGTGTGTGTGTGTGTGTGTGTGTGTGTGTGTGTTGAAGGGAGGGGGTGATGTTCTCTATACTCTCAGTCTTATATCAGTTATATGCATGGAATGGATTTTGTAAGATGATTTTTGTAAAACGTCTCCAGTGTTAAGACTTGTAAATATGTTTTTACATGTTTGCAGACGTGCATTAAAATATTAAAATGAACAATGGGATAAATCACATGCCTCTTTCTTTCTGGTTTCAGAATAAGTCGGATTCTATAAAATTCTGTCTACGAGGACCCTACTTCTCCTGTGGCCTCTGTAAATACTTTCATGATGAGTTTATGATCTCAGCTGCTAGTTTCAAGTCTTTGGTCAAATAATTATCATGTTTTATTTACAATCATGATCTCATTTACAGTAAAAGTAATGTATGCCTTAGATTGGGCCTACCCTGAGATTAAGTCATGTTTTACAGCAGACAGTTTCACACATCATTACTGATAAACCACATGTTTTTCTTATCACAGATCGAAACAAGCACCAGCCTCCAGCACTGAAGTATAAAAGCTGCAGTTGCTCTGTTATCTTGAGGATGGTTCTCACTCCTTCAAACTGTACTTAAGCTTAAAGTTAGTAGTATATTAGGGGAATGAGCTGGAGTGCCTGAATTGGACCTAAAGACCATGTTTGTTTTGTTGATGCCTTTTGAAGAATTAACAGAATTATCTAACATGGTGTGACAGCCACAACACTGAAGCTCTAAAATGAGTTCTGAAATCAGTGGGTGGTATCACAGTAGCTATGTACGTACACACACACACACACACACACACACACACACACACACACTTACTTGCAGGGTAAGAGTAAAACAAAAAAACACTTAATTAATCAGACATCCTCGACCCACATTACTGTTTTGTTTGTTTTTTTACTGCACAGAAAGTGAGGACAATTCATCAATAAATTTATTTTTTTTGCATAATTTAATTAGTTTTACTCAAGCGTTGTGGGCATTTGTGTATCGTATGGTCCTAAATAACAGGAAACACATTACTCTTCAGGTAAGGTGACAACAGCGCATTGCTTTTACTACGGATGGTTTATTACATGCATAAATAACTTTGAAACAACTCCGATACAGAAAGGGCCTGCTGCTGCTCTCCCATACTGAACACCAGCGGGTGCTGTTCCATCCTCCCACCGCAGGGGGCAATAATGAGCTCAGTTCGCTGATGAAAATGCTGCTTATGGATAAATAAGCTTCACACAAAGTTCACATTTCTTCATTATTAGATGTGTTTAAAGTAGGGTTTTGTTTTTTTCAGTTGAGCAAAAGAGGGACACTAAGAAAGAAGAGTAAGATGTTTTTGCCTACACGCGCCTGTTTCCCTCCCCTGCTCCGTAAAAAACGTTAAGCTAACGGCCACTTCTCACTTCTCCCATCGTTTCTTCGGAACCCTGGAGACTGAAGGTAACTTGGCTAGTTTTAGCGGCTTTAAAATCAAAAACTAACGCTTAAAATTAATGACTGCCTATTTTAGTGAACACAGAACCGCACACACTGCATGTTTGATGAGAATTCACTATGTTAAACTGATTTTTATTTATGAAGTCCTGATTGCTTTTTCTATTTTGGCTTGTGGTGATCTGCAACCTTAGTCATGTGAAAACTGCTTTAGCAGCACCCCACTCAGCATATTAATATAGGTATAAACAGATTAGAAAACCCTGCAGAGGATAAACAAATGTTAGCTGACATGAAGTTACCGCTTTTGTTTACAAATATTCACTTAATCTAATTTCTTTGGCCTCAGGAGGTGTGGTGTTACCCGCACCTGTGTTCTTACCTGATCACAGGAGGCTGCCCTGTTCAAAAATCACCTAAACTCTTGTAGAGGTTCACTTAAACCTGCTGCAGCCGAAAGGGTTAATTTAAAAACAGTTGCATCACCAAAACTGATTCAGAATAATTTACCTTAAAAAAAACTCAAATTAGTGGTAAAAAAAAAAAGTTCTAAAACAAATTTAAAACGGCAGACTTTCAAAAGAAGGTTAACTTGAGCTTCAAGATTGATAATAGTTATAGTACCAGATTAATTTCATGTGTCTGATGGCTCTGATTTATTTGCCGCATTTTATTAAAATCACTGTTAGTGCACGATTAACAGGTGGGTGTTTTGGTGCTTCACACTGTTCACGTGATAGAACAGTTAGATTTTATGTAACACAATCAAAATAATGAGAACCAAAGCTTATGTTAGAATCATGTGACGGTTATTCACTGTGTTTTATTTTCAGTGAATTCAGAAAATATCGCTGACATGGATGTGTGTGAAAACCTGGGAAAATCTTAGTTAGACTGACTTTATATTAAGTAAGTGTGTCCTGGTTTCAGGACGGTTGTTCCAAAGTCCAGGTTTTTTTCTTCCTGGTTAGTAGAGCCATGCCTCGAGGTTTAGAAAGCTTTGGTTAAAAAGCAACTCTGTGAGTTAGTTCTTCTGAATTATGAAAAAAGGACTGCAGCAGTTCTGCTCAGTGCGGAGCGGTAAGTGTGTGTTTTATAGTTGGCAGTGTGAAATGGGCTTTCTTTGTAGGAACATTATCTGCCACAAAATAATAATAAGTAAAATTTAAAGTGCTCATTTACTGCTTAATATAACTCATAAAGGTCACAACATGTTTGTGTTTACTCTAAAATCTGTTTATTCTGTGTCACCACAGACAAAGCTGATTTGTTTTACACATGCATGAAAACAGCCTTTTCCTGGTCCCTTTCACAATAAAAGTCACACACAAAATCACACACAGTTTCCATAATAGTTTAAAAAGAAAAATTGTGAAAAAAATAATATGTTTATTTACTCTTAGCGTTTTAGTCCTGCTGTCCAAGGATGTGTACAATGGTAGTCAAAACTTTCACCCATTCACATGTTGGTATTGTCTGTGTCAAGACTGCTGATGAACCTGTACCTGATAACAACATAAAGTGTGGCTTAAATTCAAGCTTTTCTTATAAATTTTTGCTTTACAGAAAATCAGTCGGTCACAAATCAGTCCAAATGTGTGGTAGTGGGCACATCTGCTATATTGAGATAATCCATCCCACCTCACAGGTGTGCCACATCAGGATGCTGATCTGACATCATGAGTAGTGCACAGGTGTACCTCAGACTGCCCACAACAAAAGGCCACCCTGGAATGTGCAGTTTTGTCTCACAGCAAAATGCCACAGATGCCACAAGCAATGAGGGAGCGTGCAATTGGCATGCTGACAGCAGGAATGTCAACCAGATCTGTCGCCCGTGCATTGAATGTTCATTTCTCAACCATAAGCCGTCTCCACAGGCGTTTCAGAGAATATGGCAGCACATCCAACCGGCCTCACAACCGCAGACCTCGTGTAACCACACCAGCCCAGGACCTCCACATCCAGCAGGTTCACCTCCAAGATCGTCTGAGACCAGCCACCCAGACAGCTGCTGGAACAATTGGTTTGCACAACCAAACAATTTCTGCACAAACTGTCAGAAACCGTCTCAGGGACGCTCAACTGCATGCCCGTCGTCCTCATCGGGGTCTTGACCTGACTCCAGCTCGTCGCCGTAACAGACTTGTGTGGGCAAATGCTCACATTCGATGGCGTCTGGCACGTTGGAGAGGTGTGCGCTTCACGGATGAATCATGGTTCACATTGTTCAGGGCAGATGGCAGCTGAGAATGTCCCAGTTCTTGCATGGCCAGCATACTCACCGGACATGTCACCCATTGAGCATGTTCGGGATGTGCTTGACCGGCGTATACGACAGCGTGTACCAGTTCCCACGAATATCCAACAACCTCGCACAGCCATTGAAGTGGAGTGGACCAACATTCCACAGGCCACAATTGACAATCTGATAGACTCCATGCGACGATGTGTTGCACTGCATGAGGCAAATGGTGGTCACACCAGATACTGACCGGTTCTGGGTCCCCAGACCCCCAATAGCGAAAAAACTGCACATTCCAGGGTGGCCTTTTGTTGTGGGCAGTCTGAGGTACACCTGTGCACTACTCATGATGTCAGATCAGCATCCTGATGTGGCACACCTGTGAGGTGGGATGGATTATCTCAATATGCAGATGTGCCCACTACCACACATTTGGACTGATTTGTGACCACTGTTTGGGAGGGATGGTTATATTGTGTATCTGGAATGAATTTTAGGTCTCTACGTCCATCCCATGGGGAATGGGAGCAGTAACAAAGGTGTTGCGTTTATATTTTTGTTGAGTGTAGTTTCAGAGAAGTGCACCCTGGCAGATGATGCAGAATGATGTCACAGAACTCAGACCAGGATATGATGACTGTTACCTTCCTTCACAGGCGTGTAGGATGCAGTACTGCAGTACTCGTGGGGGGGTCAGGGGCTGGGACTTCCGGGAGGTGCTGTTTTCGGGCTATGCCCCAGATGGAGGGATGTTCATGCCGGAGAGTTTGCCTCTGCTGAGCCCCGACACCCTGAGGAGCTGGAAGGGGCTGTCCTACACCAAAGTGGTGGTGGAGGTTGCTTCACTGTTCATCCCTCCTCAGCTGATCCCCAGAGACCACCTGGAAGGTGAGCTGGGGGGAGAAATTCACCGTTGCATGCAGGTAGAACTGATCAGATAATCAGTGAGTCCTGTTTCCCGTGTTTCTCTCTCCCAGTCCTCGTGGGTGAAGCCCTGTCTGGCTTCTCTGTGCCGGAGGTAGTTCGAATTGCCCGGCTGAAGGGGGGTCTGTCCGTCCTGGAGCTCTTCCATGGAGACACCCTGGCCTTTAAGGACCTGGCTATGACCTGCACTGTACGCTTCCTAAACTACTTCCTGCAAAAAGAGAACCGCAGGGCGACTGTTCTCGTAGGTGAGAGTGAAACATGTTTTTATTATGGGTTAAAACCAGAGAACTAGATGCAGGTGAAAAACTGGCATAAATGTCATCCTCAGGTACGTCTGGGGACACCGGCGGCTCGGCCATCCAGAGCGCCAAAGGTCTCCCTGGGCTGGACGTGGTGGTGGTTTACCCCCGTGGACGCATCACTCCAGTGCAAGAGAAGCACATGATCTCTTGCTTGAAGGATAACGTCCATGTTTTTGCAGGTACACGCAGAGAAGCTCAAACAGCCACGTTTTTTATGGTTATAAAGTTTCTCTGAATCAATCTCACTCTGTCTGTAGCCGACGGCAGCTCTGATGACATAGACCAG